GGGGGTCATTGGAACTAAAATAAAATGAAGTAAAAACCACAAAAAGGGGGAAGTCAGAGACTACCGGTTAAAAGCCTTAAAAAGAAGCCATATCGTTAGTAGGCGAGATGGCAGGCATTTACCTATGATCATGGTGATTTTGAGGAATGTCGGGGAATCTCTCTATAAAGATAGCCATCAGTCACTCTAAGAGTCAGGAGTATGGCATCAGTGATGGATGACCTCCGTGAAAAAAAACCAGCAGCTCTGTGAATCACAACTAGTGGATAAACTTTGAAAAGAAGGACGTCAGCTATTTAAATGGAAAATGACTTTTCCATACTTTTACATTGGCAACACAAAAGCCACTCGGCTCTGGTTAGACTCGTTCACACCTATTACTCAGTGAAGTTGGTCCAGCATGTGGATAAGCTCTGACCTCATGTTACAGACTAGACTATAGTTCCTGGCTTGACCAGGAGGTGTAGCTGAGGAGATGAGACTGTTATGGAGCATCTTAGCTCAGTTGGTGAGTAAGATGAAAGTACTTATTTGACTGTTCTTAATGGGGGAGTATCTGAAAAGATGCCAGAAAGCTCAGGTGGTCAGCTTGAATGCTAGTGATGACCTTTTTATCATTATGACTGGGACTAAATACTACAGGCAGTCATTATATACACAATTGCTGACTGATAGGAAGTAGCGATCCTTACTTTCCAAGCTATCAAATGATGTTTATGTTGCAATGTAGGCAATACATTATGTAATATCTACAAGGTTATCACAGGTAATAAATTTGTTTGGTCGAGAAACCAATAGCTGAAAGGGCTTTATGACCCTTATTGAGCTGTTAGGTGGTGTTGTCTGACAGAATGACTGGATTATGTTTTTACGACTATCACAGCTAGATTGATCATTTGTTTTAAAAATCAATGACTGAAATGAGATAGTATTCCTTGGCTATTAGGTATTATTTCATGATTGTGTTTATACATTACATTGTATTATTTACCACTCGATTATCACAGTTAGGATGGTTGTTTGGTCTTACTTTCTGAGTATCAAGTGTGATTTAGTTTGACAAGATATGGAGACATTATTATTGTGACAACCACTTGATAATCCCAAGCTAGGAAAGTTGTTGGTTGGAGAACCAACAATGAAAAGGCTGTGCTTTCTGATCAACTGGGTGGATTTTCTTTTTAATACAGTTGTTCAATATTTCAAGAAATTCGCGTTCCCTTATCACAGTAGCAGTAGTTCTCCTGAACAGTCAATGGAGTTCTAAAGAGAAAAGACTCTGCTGTGCAATTAACTGCGTATGAATTCTCCATTTGCAACGAAGAAGTTGTATTATCCACTGGAAGAAAAGTGGATTGGGTGAGTGTGAATGAATTTCAATGGAAGAGGTTATATTTCATTGAGGCTAGATATATTTACTCTTGCTGTGATACCAACTAACATGAGTGAATCTCCTTGAGTAAGGTGATACATTGAGGTTGAAAGTCGCTCTAAACAGTGAATACACGTTTACAGTGGACTGTTATGTTTATCCATATTTGATTCTAGGTTGTATAAATGCAGAAGGCAGAACAAACCTTAATTATATCAACGGTCATTTTCCCCGAATAGGCTAGTTCACCTGAATTATAGTAGTAATTATTTATCTAGTAAAACATTGTATAATTTTACCACTCGCATATGATGGCTGCAACCATCGATGGATAGTTTATTAAAGTAGCTCATGTAGGTTATTCTGGTAACAATGTGGTATGTTGAAAGCTACTCGTGTTTGTCGCAATCTGTGGAAGCTGGAACAATGTATATATATATATATATATATACTTGTGATTATATAAGTGTGAAGTTTTACCCAACACAAAATGAGCCAGTCCTTGAGATCACAGACAAAGGAAAGCCTTTGAATGAGAATATAAGTTGATCAGGATGTTAAGACCTTGAGTTATGAAGTTAATTATGGTAATTTACCTCCCAGGCATTATTTAATATAACAAACAGCCGGTCAGTTGTTTTTAATAATGTGGTTATGAGAATGTTTCAGTTTTCACATTGAAACATTCACCAGGGAGTGGATTTTATGGAACTGATGAAAGTAGCGGATAGCCTCTTGCCATGCTTGTAGAAAATTACAGTTTGAACCATTTTTAGATATTGTTGGCAGGAATGATTCATTTGTTTTGAACTGAAATGTGAGTTTACATTCATAAACAGTATCATGTAACATTCCAAATGTAAACATGGAGTACCAAATGTTTTATTTTATTAGTTGAAAAAGTTTGGATATGTGGATTTAATATATTTCCAAAAAACACAGTTTTCTGAATATATTTTTAACATTTTCAGTATAAGGCCAGTTAAAATGGTCGAAAATTAACACCGTGTAATATGTAGCTAGTCTCCTCGGTACTGAACTTGTAGCTGAAAAAAGCGCCCCAGTGGCACAGCGGTATGTCTGCGGACTTAAAACGCTAGAAACCGGGTTTCGATACCCGTGGTGGGCAGAGCAGAGATAGCCCATTGTATAGCTTTGTGCTTAATTACAAACAAACAAATTATTTACCGGCTAACAAAACTCGCTCTCCGAAAAATTCACCAACTTTGAGTCTTAACAAATATTTATCGTAGTAAATCAGTTACTAGTTAACATGCAGGTTATTAATTGTAACTGTACTTTTGTGTTTACTGTAGGAAAGTGGAATGTTTATATATTCCACAACATTCAAGAAATATCTTGTTATTCGTCACTTCTGTGTTGTTTATCATTAGAATGCATTTCCGTCTCATGAATATTCAACAGATCAAATAAAATGAAACAACTACTCGATGTTGTTCTTGTGGTTGATAAGTTTGGTGGTTAAACTCTGTTATTAACTATCTACTTGAGTTACAAAATGAATTGAGTGAAGGGGTGGTAATATGATTTGCAGTCAAAAGAAAGAAGGTGCTGCGTTTGAGTTGCAGTGAGAGACATTCTGATCTTCCTTTCCCACATTATACATTGACATAACCATGCATATGAGAACATATTCTTACAAAGGAGGTATAAGAACTGAAATTATATCTAATAATAAAAGTTTTAAAAAAATGAATTAATCATACGCACATACAAACAACTGAATCAGTAAACCAAATGGAAAATGGCTGCCCATGTATAAAATATTTTATTGAAGATATTCTAATACTACAAACTACATGGAGAGTTAATTACACATACAAATGGTTAAAGTAAAACAACGAGTTACATAAGACAAGATTGTAGATTATCAAGAGAGAATGTGGTTTTATATTTTAACATCCACACAATCAACAAACATTAAATGAATATACTTCTGTATATTGAGTGATGATAATAAAAATAGTTTGGATAATTTTACTTCATTATTTCAACTTACCAACTTTCTGATATTAAGCACACTTCTACTTTCACTTACATACACCTCCCCCTTTCCCCAAGTTTCTTTATGCGCAACTTTAAGGAATGATGAGCGCGTGCATAACTATCAGTGTGGAATATATATTATAGTTATTGAAATGGTTATTATAAGGCGGGAACAAGTTGCCATTGAAATTAGGTTACATTTATTTGTCGAAACTAAGAGGATAACATAATAAATAATTTAAATATAGGAAAGTTGTATATCTGGGATCTGCTACTCCAGTTCTATCCAGATCTCGATAAACCGTTTAAAGTAATTAAATACTGTGTCGTAGTAGAACCGGGCAATGTAGGAAACGTCCTGTTTTAGTACAATCTCGTTCTCAATACTCCTTTGTAGTATTTCTAGACTTGATTCCCAGAATGTTTGTGTGAACGTTCCATTCAATCGCCTAAAAAGAGAAATAGTTCGACTGAGAATTGAGCATAATTACTCTTAAATCTTTTGCTAACGGACCAATTAATTCCAACACTGTTCATAAACGAAGTTTATAATATCAAAGTCTGTAAAATCTGGAGAACGTACTTTTGTTAGACTAGATGAAATTTTTAGTTGCTTCTGGAAGCTCATTTAATTAAGACTTCAACATTGTTAACACTTCTGGTAGTTCGTTTAATCAAGAGTTTAACACTATTTTTGAAGCTCACTTAGTTAGGAGTTTAATAATATTTGTTTTTATGAAAGAAAATTTAGTGTAAACATTATCAACGACTTCTGGTCAAAGCAACCTATCTACAAATATCAGAACTAAACAATGAACCTAATTTAATAAACCAGTTTAATTAGAAATATATAGAACAAAGATCAGAATGTATTGATTCATCAGTTGGATTTCTTCGTTTTAATCCCAATAATATCTTGCGGAATTCGGCCAGCTTCGGAGATGATAGGTTAGTCTTAAATACTAGCTAACTTAGGAGATGTAGGTTAGTCCTAAGTGCAAGCTAACTTAGGAGATGCAAGTTAGTCCTAAATCCAAGCCAGCTAAGGAGATGTTAGGTTAGTCCTAGATCCAAGCTAACTTAGGAGATGTAGGTTAGCCCTAAATCCAAATATTAAGCTATCGATATAGAATGATATTTGAAACAATGAATAAATTAGAAACTATACATAACATTAAGGAAAGAACAAAGTATACCTTACAATACACGTAAAACTACTTATTTCCTTCATGCATTGTACCTGATTATCTAAGCTCTAAAAAACGTGATACTAATATAAACAAACCCTTCTATAATCAACATCATGTTGTTAGCTCTTTTGATATACTGTCCTGTTTTTAGTTCCACTAAAATGTTTGAAATATGGAACTTCGACATTTACTCACTAGATTTCCATTCAACTGTTTATAATATGGAATTTCGACATTTACCTACAAGACTTCCATTCAATTGTTTATAATATGGAATTTCGACATTTACCTACAAGACTTCCATTCAATTGTTTAGAATATGGAACTTCGACATTTACTCACTAGACTTCCATTTAAATTATTTGAAATATGTAATTTCGACATTTTATCACTAGACTTCAACTATATTTATTAAAATATGGAATTTCGGCATTTACTTATTAGACTTTCACTAAATTGTATAAAATATAAAATTTCGACATTTACCTACTAGACTTCCATAAAAGTGTTTAAAATTTGGAATTTCGATATTTACTTACAAGACTTCCACTAAATTGTTTAAATTATAGAATTTCGACATTTACCTATTAGACTTCCATTAAATTGTTTGTAATATGAAATTTCGATATTTACCTTACTTCTTTAAATTATAGAATTTCGACATTTACCTACTAGACTTCCATTATTTAAAATGTGGAATTTTGACTTTTACTTATTGTAAGTACACTATATTTATTAAAATATGGAATTTTGACTTTTACTTACTATACTTCCAGTAAATTGTTTGAAATATGAAATTTCAACATTTGTTTATGAGACTTCAACTAAATCATTTGAAATATTGAATTACAATTACTTACTAGACTTCAACTAAATTG